ACACACACACACACACACACACACACACACGCACACACACACACACACACACACACACACACACACACACACACACACACACACACACTGACAGTGGATTGTGATCACAGACTCACGGACTTCGAAGTGTTTGACCACTGTGACCAAAGAATGCGGGCGTGGAAGGATGAGAAGAGGTTGCAGCTGTTGTTTCAGATGCTGCAGACGAAGAAGACGAGAATCCAGAATCTGACCTGTACTCCGGGCTGATCTTCTTGCAGCCTTTAATGTTGAAGGTTTGTAGGCTACGTCACGAGTCCCTTATCAGTATGACATTGCATCCGTGATCTTATCAAAATTGACTAAGGAGTTAGTAAGGAGAAGTAGGTGAGAGATGGACATCCCTTTCCCAGCGCTGCTATTCCTGAGTGGGTGATGCCGGGTCAATTTGCCAAGCTCAGCAATTGCAGAGCTAGGCTTGAAACTGGTGGCTTTTGATACACTTCTCCTAAATAAACTACTATATCTAAAGAAAACCATCAAATAACGAATCGTTTTTTTTTTTAAGTTTCTTAAGTGTATTTTCTATTGGTAGGGACTCTAGGGAGTATTCTTTGTTTAGCACATTGACTTTATTTATAAATTATATTTAGTAACAAAGGGCTATTAATATTTCCTTTTGTTTTCTTTTATATTATGAAGTGGTTTGAAATTTCATTTCTCTATACAATCGGCTCAATAGCTCGTTGAAAATGTTTCTAGTCGTCTCTTCGTGTCGCCTTCTCGTGTAGCTTGATTGACGATGGCGAAATGGTTATTCCATGCCCTTGTTTATTGATGTCTATAGTTGACATGTAGACATTTTGTAAAAATAAAAAAAACTTTGTTTGTACTCAATGTACAAACATTGATCTGCAACACATGAAAACAAGCGAAAAAGTCTTTGTTATTATTTGTTAGAAAGAAAAATAAAATGATTGTCATTTCATTTGGTTTTTGCTTATGGCTACTTTTAGAGTTTTATTTAAGATTTTAATTTTTTATAAAAAAAAATATTTCATATGACCTTTGCTTAAGGACAAATGATCATTTTATTTCGCTTATTCTTAAAACCATTTTCAAAATTTCATATGACATTGTTGTACAAGACGTCGTTTTTTCACATGCCTTCACTTAGGGCAGATAGTCACCTTTCTCTTGGTTTATCCCTGCATGGGCGGGAAAGCGTATTTGCATTAATCATAAGCCTTCACTTAGGGCATATTATGTCATGGCCTTCACTTAGTGACTTAGGGTCTTCTATGACCCTCACTTAGGGCCTTATATGGACTTCGCTCAGGGCCATTGTCAATTTCAGTTAAAACAATTCCACAGTTCTCTTTCTTCTTCTTATCAAGATGACACATGTTTCTGCTCCAACTCGTCAAGCACGACGAGCAAAACAGGAAGTGTTGTATTGGAGCCTCCAGTCCTCCCCACTTTTTATCTCAACCTCAAAGCTCTCATGAAACATTTGGTACGCCCATGAAAGCTCGGAGGTTGAGAGAGAGAGAGAGAGAGAGAGAGAGAGAGAGAGAGAGAGAGAGAGAGAGAGAGAGAGAGAGAGAGAGAGAGAGAGAGAGAGGTTGTTCTCACGCAAACACTGAAACGACATCGATCATTAGACAATGCGTGAGCGTCATGTTACTCCTGTATGTGTCCATGCAGTGCATGCACGCATATGTGTGTGTGTGTGTGTGTGTGTGTGTGTGTGTGTGTGTGTGTGTGTGTGTGTGTGTGTGTGTGTTACGAAGCATTATGACGAAGCAACCCGAAACGATACGGGAATCTCCATTCGATCCACTGACCTGTATTCAGAAGCTATAACTCCTTATCTTTGCCAAACAAAGCCACCTACCAGCAGTCCCTGCAGACAAGGTCATGGTGAATCATGCCAAGCGAAAAGGGGAAGAAGTTGAAGAAGGGAGGAGAGAGAGAGAGAGAGAGAGAGAGAGAGAGAGAGAGAGAGAGAGAGAGAGAGAGAGAGAGAGAGAGAGA